ACCAGTAATTGTATTGGGAAACTCTGTGCCAGAGCAGTAATTTTCCTGGGAAACTCTGTACCAGTCTCCTGTGCCAGACCAGTAATTTATCTGGGAAACTCTGTACCAGTCCCCTGTGCTAGACCAGTAATTTTCCTGGGAAACTCTGTCCCAGTCTTCTGTGCCAGGCCAGTAATTTTCCTGGGAAACTCTGTGCCGGGCCAGTAGTTTTACTGACAAAGACCGCTGTATAGCTGTGGGGAGTCCACGCTCGTTATTCCAGCTGATCTAGTGCTGTACGTGTTAGCAGTGGCTCGTTGGCTCACACAGTGCTTTCTGAAGAAGTGCTTGTGACCGAATTTGATCTCCTTTTGTCTTCTCCCTGGGTCACTTGACCTGCCAGTGTGGCTGGTCTCTCACATGAGGGAACTCCAGCGCTCAGAAGGGGAAGGGTCCGGACCCTGTAGTTCCCTGAGCTCTGCGGACAGTGTTGCGTCTTCGGCTTTTTCCTTTCTGCCCCAGCTCATGCCGACTCGGCCTGGTTTAGGGGAATCTGGTTAATAATAATGTGTCACACTCCTCATCTCACCTGTGGGGGTGAGGAAGCACAGTGAGTAAGTCTCTGGGCTCACACCTGGTGGGCTGGGGGTTCAAGTCTTCATTCCAGACGCTGCGGTTGTACCATGCACAAGGTCATTTATTCCAGTCCCTCCAAGTTCCTGATATGGAGGGAAACAAAATACCCCGTCCAGTCCAGGATGGGAGTCTTCAGCTGCTGCATGTCCTCTGGCCGTTCAACACAGCGATTCTCAGGGGCTGTCAGCTAGTAGCACACCAGGCCTTGGTCCTTAGAGCGCGCTGTGCTGTGAGAAAGAAGGCCGACCCAAGTGATCTCGCAAGAGACGTGGGCGTGGGGGCCCGTGCCTCTGGTGCCGTCACTCTAGGCAGCAGCAGACCCGGCTAATGCACCGATCCCAATGCGTGACGTCCTTACAGGCAGTGTTTGGTGGCTTGAAAAAAGAGCCACCGACAGGATGTGCAAGGTACTGAGCCACTACCCCAAATATTGAGTGGTCCCCCATCTCTTTTGGAATTAATGCTGTGCTGAGCTGCACCTCTAATCAGCTTTACGGGTGGACCAACAAGCTATAAGGGAGGGTTCTCAAATTTTTTTGACAAGGTAGCATATCTTAAGATTACATTTTCCTAGACTGAAGACTAATTCAGGCACATTTATGCTCTGAGAGATGAAAAACAATAATGTGTTTTGAAGGTTCTCAAGCTTTTCTTATGGCCCAACTCATTTTTCTACGAAATCAACATACAGTAGACGTTTTTTCAACAGGCTTTAATCTTGCAGTTACTTTATTTGCAATGATAAGGCAGTGCATTTAATAAAAAAAAGCTCAGCTTGGTGAAGAGTCAGGCAGAGGAACAAGCTGGCAGCTGCAGAGATGCACCACCCCTTGCACAGCAAATCTGACCTCCTTCCATCTGGGGGTCGGTTCAGAACACCTAGATTCAAGAGCAAAAGAGCTAAGTAATATTTTTACTCCCAAGGCAATTATCCTGCCCAATTTGCACAGTTGACTGTGTAGTTTACTTTATGCATATTTATTTATTTTTCATCATACATGCATGTGTCTTATTTGTTAATGGGTGGGTTTTGTTTTTAAATGTGTTGTGAAATGTGTTATGCCTGCAAAGCACATTCCCCATGTGGGACCACTGGGTAAGTAAGCGGGTCTGCTGTCATTGTGCTGCCTCTGTTTTGAGGCTTGGTGTTTTGCCCCCCTGAAAGCTGGCGGATCAGTCTGCAGGCTGGGATTTCCTCTGGGCAAGAGTCTGGAAGGTGGGCTGCGGAATGAGATCCCGGGTGGGATTTGTGCCAAAAAAGGAGGAGGAGGAGGAAAGGTAAAAGGGAATTGGCAGTAATTTAACCTTTAGCGGCCCACATTGGGATCGACTTGCAGTAGGGTGCAGAGATAGGAATACCTGCACGCCACAGACAGTGGGGCTCTGTGTCGTCGTCTGATTGATACAGAGGGCTGCGGGGATAGGGTCCTGCCGATCGTGGGGTGAAGAGAACGGGAGCAGTGGAGTGAGGCTGATCTGAACAACGCGGGGGTGGCGGGGGGGGTCTTCGCTTTTGGTCCCTCATGCTTTGTCGGTTGCTGTCTCCCACAGGGATGGGGAAGCCGTCTCTCTCAACGCCCTGGCTGGTGCTGGTGCTGCTGGGAGGTCACATGATCGCGGCATCGCCAACGGTAACCAGCCCTCGGGCCTCCCTGTCTCTACGGCCCTTCCTTCCCAGACAGATTCCTCCTGCTCCCTCTCCCTCCCCGTCACCGCGGAGACCTCCCTCTCCTGTCTCTCCCATTTTCCTACTTTCCTCTGATTTTGCCCTTCAAGCTCTCGAAGAACAGGGTAACAGGGATGAGGTATTGCCTGGGCTGGGTGAACATGGTGGCGCTGGCTTGGTAACCCAACAGCGGCGCCCTAGTGGCCGAGCAGGGCAGGGTTTCCAACCCGATCTGGCTCATGTCCTCCACCTGATACCAGATCTCTGCACTTCAGGGTGAATAAGCGACGGGTGGTGACCGATCGCATTCCGGAAGATGAGAGTGCGTGTTTGTCTTGTTCACCTGCACTGGAAATAAGGGATAGGAGTTCTTACGTCAGGGCTGGGTTTCTTTGGAAAAACAAAACAAGCGTCTTTTGAAAAATCTCGCAAACACTTTGGGCGACGCGGTGACGTTTTTTGTTTTTTATTATTTTTAAAAAAGGAAAACATCTTTTCGATCTCGTTGATGTCAGCCTGATTCACCAACGGCTGTTCTGGCGCACGAAAAAAAAAAAAACAAGAGAGAGAAACGAGAGTCAGTCTTTCTGTTTCCAATTTCACTCGTCCTCTCTTGTGTCTCGGCGCGGCGCTGCAGTGAGCGTGCCACAGTGTCCCGGTCAGCCTGTGGGCACGTAGTGTGTCACTCACCATCGCCGTTTCTCTCCCCGTGTTGCTAAAAACAGAACAGAACCTGTAAAATACCTGCAGATACAATGGAAAAAAATGACTTTTAAAGAAGCTGGCCATGATTCATTTTTTTACAGAATCCAAACACAGCCCCACAAGAAGGCAGTGACTCATGTTGTGACTGATGTGCTCAGATGGGGCACATGCACCACACAAGCTTAAGAGTGCTGGTCTCTGGTCCTCTGCTTGCCTATGGCTGAACTGGTCTCCCAAAACCCAATTTTCTTTGCGTGTGGCCAGACCAGACCCTGGGGAAAATCAAAACTCAGCAGAAAGACCGTGTTGGCTGTAACTGAAGCTCTTGTTTCCACCCCACCCCCCCATCCATTGAGATCATGAGCCGTCGAGAACTGACCTGGGTTTTGGGGTACAAGTGACAGAGACGTTGTGTCATTGCCAGTCAACCTGCTTTACAGGAAACACAGGGAAACCACACAGGTTGTACTTCTGCTAAACCTTTGCTATGTTTCCTGTGCTGGTAAGACGCAGGGAGAGCTGTTCGTGTTCCAGGCACACTGATCACTGTACTACTGTTTAATACAAACATGTAACCACTGGTTTAACATCACTGGACTGGAATTACTGTACTGTGTAGCTGCACTGGTTTAACACCACTAGACTGGAATTACTGTACTGCCTGGTTTAACATCACTGGACTGTTCCATGAAGAGGTTAATTTGCTTTTTTTCTGTTGTTCTAATTAATTACTATTGGTTTCATTTGCAGAAAGGGACTGATGCAGATGGATGTGCTCTGTGTTCATCTGGTAATTCTGATGCTCTCTTTGTTTCTTTCTATGTCAATGTCACTGTGCTGTAGTGTCCAGTCAGTCAGTGTCACTGTGCTGTAGTGTCCAGTCAGTCAGTCAGTGTCACTGTGCTGTAGTGTCCAGTCAGTCAGTCAGTGTCACTGTGCTGTAGTGTCCAGTCAGTCAGTCAGTGTCGCTGTACTGTAGTGTCCAGTCAGTCAGTCAGTGTCTCTGTGCTGTAGTGTCCAGTCAGTCAGGGTCACTGTGCTGTAGTGTCCAGTCAGTCAGTCAGTGTCTCTGTGCTGTAGTGTCCAGTCAGTCAGGCAGTGTAACTGTGCTGTAGTGTTCCATCAGTGACAGTCTATTTGTGTATATTATCACACATCTCTTTGTTTTGCATTCACCTTTCTTCAGAGCTATCACAGGAAATAAAACATCATGCAGAAAAAAATAATTCTCATATTAATCAGCCAGCCCTCGTTAGCAGAGAGGCGCCCAACAAAACCCACATCCTGTTGCGCAGAGAGCGACGTCTTCTTAAAACTCAGGTGGCCGTTTATACCTGCCTGTGCTTCCTGCTTTTCACTGTTTCCGCCTCGTTTCCCACCCACCCCGCTTTCTGTGCTGTGTGATATACTGAGGTCAGTCAAAGAAGGCACTTTACACCATACACCCCCCCTTCTGCCTCTCTGCCTCTCTCTCAGGTTTCCATCGATCCGGCTGCAGTGAGTGCCACGCCTGTAAAGAAGGCTCCTTCACTCCGAGCTGGAACACCGAAGAGACCTGTTTCTCGTGTTCCCGGGACTGTAGACCCGGTGAGTCCTCCTCGCATGCTTGCAGTCGCATAGGAATGGAAAAAAAACAATACTTTCGTCTTGTTATCAAGAAGGCACTTTACACCATGAGTGGTGGGAGTGTGGAACGCGGTACCCTGGCTTCTTTCAAGAAACAGCTGGGTGAGAATCTTAGCTACTTAACTACCGAAAGGGGCTAAATGGCCTCCTGTTGTTTGTAAGCTTTCTTTGCTCCAGGTGCTGCCTGTCATAACATGCTTGAGCACCTTGTTCCATAAGCATTCAGCACATCAGACTCATTTGGCTGATAGCAGCTAGGTGACACCCTGTATTTGAAATGGTACTGTTCTCTGATTCGCTGGATGGATGCGGTGTGCATGTCAGTGACGCCCACCCAAGGGTGGACTGATCACTGCCTCACTCTGACAAGCAGCATGTCAGACTCCCGGACAATCAGCTCGATCCAGACCGAGGGTTTTGGGGGTCCCGACACACGCTGGGCAGCTCTCTGAAGCCTGAAGCTCATCTAGGCCGCAGGGCCGGATCTTGGTGTGCGTAGGCCCTGGGGCCTCTCACTCCCAAATGTGCAAGAAGAGGGGTGAACCCCACTTGAATAACATCGATTGACATGATGTCACTTTCAACTATTCGAATGCTAAACCATGTGATTGATGGAGTGACCATCCCTTTGATCCTTCTAGTTTCTAGAACAGCCACTTGATAGCGGATGATTATTGATTTGGAGCACCTAGAGTCGATCTCTGGGCTGTGTTTCTTTACACTGTGAGCCCCCTAGTCAACAATAGTCAGAACTCGACTCGAGTGAGGTCAGAACTTGAGCTGTGGAATGGCTGTACCGCTTCGGTAGGGGAATCAGGCAAAGAACCTTTCATGTGCTTTGCATTTGCTAGCAGGCACAAGACGTGGACAGCAATGGAAATTACACAATGGAAAGTTGCAGATCATCCCGTCCCGTGTACAGTAGTGTGTGTTCTCAGGGCAGAAATGGTGCAAAAGTAGCAAGACAGCACCATCTAGCGTCAGGAATGGACTTTTGTTAAAAAAAAATGGGTTTCTCAGTGGTCACTCTAAATAAAAAGCATAAGAAAGGTCAGGGGATCCTGATTGGAGGATCTCATCAAGCTGTTTCCTGAAAGAAGCCAGGGAATCAGCTTTGACAGCATGGCTGGGCCGCTTGTCTCACGCTCCCACACCCCTTTGTGTAAAGAGTTTCCTCCTGTTCTCAGTGATAAATGCTCCTCCACACAGGTTGCACGTGTGTCCTCTGCTTTATACATTCAGCTTTTTTTCTTCCATCTTTTTTTTTTAGTTTACAGTTGCACTTTTTAGAACTATATGCCAGCAGAGATGGGAGTTTAAATACAGAAACATGCTTCCTTATACACATCTACAGTACCTTAGTTTGGTCATTACAGAATGACAACAAAAACTGTTTACACAGAAATATTACATCCTTTTACTTTACAATGTTTAATCACATCTTGATGGGGGCATACATTTTTACAATTTAATAATAATAATAATAATAATACACACCAGCTCTCAGTGGGGAGGAGAACAGAGTGGTGAAGCCAGTTCAGAGATGAGGGTTAGGAGGAGGTCATGATTGGTAAGGGCCAATGGGAAATGTAGCCAGGACACTGTGATAACACTACTCTTTTCGAGAAACGCCCTGGGATTTTTAATAACCATTAAAGTCAGGACCTTGGTTTTACACCTCATCTGAAGAACGGCGCCTTTTTACAGTATAGTGTCCCCGTCACTATACTGGGACGTTAGGACCCAGACAGCCTTCAGGGTGAGCACCCCCTGCTGGCCCCACTAACACCTCTTCCAGCAGCAGCCTCAGCTTTCCCAGGAGTCTCCCATCCAGGTACTGACCAGGCTCACACCTGCTGAGCTCCGATGGGACTGCCAGTGGCGAGTTGCAGGGTGATATACCTGCCGCTATTTAAGAGAAAATGTTTTCCTTTCCATTACAAAAATCTCATTCACAATATTAATCCACAGCTCAAAGGCTGGAGGTGCTTTAATTAGCTATTTTCTTGAAATTGGTCTTTCACTAGTAGCTAGAACAATTCCTACCATATAACTAATCAATTGTAATAAGAAACCAGTTGTTCTTCTCCTTCAGAGTTCAACCTGGAGATCGTGAAGCCCTGCACCAAAGTCTCAGACCTGGTATGTCGGTGTCGGGCAGGTTATCGCTGTGTAGAAGACATTGTCCTTACAGGTCACTGCACGAACTGCATCAGGATCGCCACTCCGCCTCAGCACATCACAGGTAAGAGGTGGCAGGTCTCCTTCCCTGCTTCATTACTCCACACCAGCTGAAACAAAGTGGTTGACACAGAAAACGCTCTCTCTCTTACCCAGAGGCCCGACCGCCCACTTCCTGTCCCGCTGGTACGTTCCTGAACTCGTCCTCCAGGAACTGTGACCCCCACACAAAGTGAGTTCCCCCCCTCTCGGTCTTGTGGGAATTCTCACCCTTTCTTCCTGTGATAGCGGTTGTCTGTCTGAGGCAGTGAGTGTGCTCTTCCCCGCCCCTTGTGTTGTTAATGCCACCGTTGGCGGGGGGGGGGGAGCTCCGTGTGTGATGTGTGATGCCCGAGCTATAGTTAATCCGTCACTGCTGTGTTTGTGTCTGCTCCATTTTGTGCTAGGTGTTGTGTCTCGGGGTTGTGTTAGCTGTGCATGACGGCGTGCTCGTTAGCTTAAGACAAGAGCGCTGGCCCTTTGGAACAGTGGCTTCGGGTGTTGTGTGAGACGCTGCTCCCTCTGACCTTGATCTTGCCCTCTCTCCTCTAGCTGCGCAGCTCTGGGGAAGCAGGTGGAGGTCATGGGCAACTCCACAGCAGACACCGTGTGTGGCACCAGTGCCAGTCCCATCAAGAGCCCAGGTGTGTGCCCTCCTGTCTGTGCGTGTCTGTTTTAATCCCTCTGTGTGTGTTGGACTAGCTCTGCATCAGAAATCCTTTGGGTTTTCTTGACTTTCTCTCTGCACCCACTTGATTTTGTCTGTGTCGATCTGCCTCTGGGTCTGCCTGTTTTTATCTCCGCCCATTTCCGTGTGTCTCCCTGTGTGTCCGCAGGGTCGGCTTAACTCGGTGTGATTTCTCTTAACCCCTGCTTCTCTCCCTCTTCCGTCTCCCCCAGACGTCAATGTGTTTGTCCTGGTTGGTGTGCTGGGCGCTCTGGGGTTTGTGGCTGGCCTGTTGCTGAAGAAAACCAGGGAGGCGTTGTCTATAAAACAAGGTGAGTGTCCTGTCAACTCTATTTTTTATGTTTTGGGATTAGAAAGAGTCGGCGTTGATGAGTGCACTTCAAACCACAATGCAAGTAAAATGCACACAGTAACTTGTCAACTCTCCAATTTCCATTACAAAATAGACTAAATTTCCAGGTCTGCGCAGAGCCATGTTCTGTGATTCAGAATGAGGCAACAAAACTTCTGGTGAGGTGAAGCAGCCCTATTACACTGTAGACAAGCAGGCTTGTGAATCCAGCTCTTTTAATCCAGTAGAAACTCTGCTCTCGACTTCCAGACGGTTCTGCCAACAAATACTACTTGTTAGCTCTGCATACAGATCGCGTTGGAACACTGTGGTGAAATGTCTGCTGCACAACCTGTATTTATTCACTCGTCCATCACAGTACATCAATCAGTACAATGACTAGGGAGCAGGAAGGGCCGCATCATGTCGCAATTCGAGGGAACTCGAGTGCGCGTTTGCACCAACATGGTGACCCACAGTACTTTCACAAAGTTCTCGTTTTTGCGCTTGGTTTGAAATTTGTCTCTTTTTTTTTCTAGAACCTCAGTGAATTTATTTTGTTACCGAAATTTAATAAAGAGGTCTGAGAAATTGGGACCATGCAGCATCTTTCAGTTTCTGAATCTGCCTCTCACTGGGACTCTCTATTCACTGTCTCTGTCTCTCTGTGTATTTCCTTTCTCTTTTCCTCGGTCCAATTCTCTGTCTTCTTCTTTCTCAGGAACGTATCTCATTGGGTATCAAGTGTATTAAAAGTGACACCTGTTTTCCCTTTCTTTCACAGCCTTCAAACTCTGCTCTCCAGGTGTGGAAAAGGTATTTATTCTGTTACACTTTTATTGTGCAAGTCTGACTGTGACGGGGCGTGTCTCTGTCCACCTGTGTGGATCTCCAATAGTGTGAGACTTGTATTTTGTAATGCCACTCTCTCTCTCTTTGCTGCCCCCCTGCAGGCAGACTGCAGTACTGCGAAGCACAAAGAGAGCCGGAAAGCTGGCCAGCTCCTCTCCAACGGGGTAGATCTGCTGACCAACAACGTGCCTGAGAGACGGCAAGAGACGGCCCCGCCCACGACCCGAACCCAGGACACGGATTGGATGGGAGGAGCCACTCACGGCGGAGAGAAGGTCAACCCACCAATCACCATGACTCCTGTAGAACCACACGCTACTGGGAACTTAGGTATTCATTGTCATCATTATTATATTAATAGCAAATGCAGTGAGATTGAGTCAGCAGCCATATCACCCTGCAGCTCTCAGCTGGCTACCTAAAGCTCAGCAGGGTTGAGCCTGGTCAGTACCTGGATGGGAGACCTCCTGGGAAGCTATGGTTGCTGCTGGAAGAGGTGTTACTGGGACCAGCTGGGGGGGGATTACTCTGCGGTCTGTGTGGGTCTTAATGCCCCAGTATAGTGGTGGGGACACTGTGCTGTAGTGGGCGCCATCTTTCGGATGAGACGTTAAACCGAGGTCCTGACTCTCTGTGGTCATTAAAGATCCCTGGGTATTTCTTGAGAGAGTAGGGAGTTATCCTGGGGTCAGGGCCAAATTTCCCCCCTCGGCCTTTACCGTGGCCTCCAAACTGTCCCCATGTATGACTGGCTTGCACCTGCCCTGCGATGGACTGGCGTCCCATCCAGGGTGTACCCTGCCTTGCGCTCGTTGCTTGCTGGGTAGGCTCCGGTTTCCCACGACACCGCATGGTATAAAGCGCTTTGGCTAAATGACATGACATGGCAGTGAGATAGAGCGCCCCCTCCCCGTGTGGAGGGCACAGTGGGAACTGCAGCTCGCAGCACTAACAGTGAGAGGGGTCTAAGCCCCACTGTCTCCTGTATTAACTCCCTCTCTCCACCTCCCCTTCACTCAGGACCCTTCCACATCTACAGCCCTGGCACGGTGTTTGTGGGCCTGCTCAACCAGATGTCCGCCCCTCCTCCTCCTCCTCCTCCTCCGGCGGCTCCGAGCTCTCCAGAGCCCCGGGAGACGGGGTCGGGGGCACCCGCCCGTCCCCCCTCGGGGGCGGCGCCCGTGCCCCTGTCCCAGGAGGAGTGGGGCGGGCACCCGCCTCGCCAGGAGCAGGGGAAAGACAGCCACCTGTCGCACGAGGAAAAGGACGACGCTCAGTAGCCCGGCAGGCGGCGACTGCAGAGGCAGGGCAGGGTCGTGTGGCACTGCAGAACACTTGGGCAGGAACGATACAGTCACCCAGCAGGACAAGAACCCTCCAGTGCGGTGCGACACTCTTCTGCTGTGTGTACTGTGTACAGTGTGATATACAGCAGCAGTAAGGTTTGACACAGCATAGCACAGCCCAGGAGTGCTGGAGCAGGACAATGCCACAGAGGCTGCAGTGCAGTGCATTGTGCTACAATAGTATCATACAGTGCCGTGTAACACAGTATAATAGTGTAAAGTGGTGCTGCAGAATTCTGTACAGTATAATACTGGGATTATCTGAATACTCTGGTGGGCTATGGAGAGGTAGGTGGTGCTCTCTGCAGAGGCGAGAGTCCAGGACTGAGGAATTGAAGGCTGGTGGTGTAGTATGAGAGCTGTCCTCCAGCTGCTCGTGAGACACCCTACTATCAGCTAGACTCACACTGCTGCCCTGCCCGAAGTGAGACACTCTTACCAGCCCCTAGACTCTCACTGAGGCCTGCCCGGAGTCAGACCTGTCCTCTCTCACACTGCGGACTGTCCTCTCTCACACTGCGGCCTGTCCTCTCTCACTCCGGCCTGTCCTCTCTCACACTGCGGCCTGTCCTCTCTCTCACTCCGGCCTGTCCTCTCTCAC